GATTGTAAAATGTGAAAAATACCTAAATTAGAAATTACAAATCAGAGAACATCACTCTACCAGACGACAATCAAAATACGCACGTTTTACACATGTTTGTTTTATTGGGATGGAAGCTTTAAATAGAAACCAACCTCTTTCTAGAAGAACTACACTTTATTTTTCATAATTGTACTAATACCCCTTACATAATATATTTTAAATATTCTTTTTGGGTATATTTTTATTATCTATGGTACAATACAATATTTTCCTTAATAAAACCCTAAAGTTCTTATATACACTGTACCTTAAAACCAACAAAAATCTCTTTGTGAAAATAATGTCTGAAACACTTTAAAGGAGAAAAAACACTTTACTCCAGAGAGTGTTAGAGACAAATAGCTTTTGCAACTATCGCATAATTTCATTGGCTTCAAATGATAACCTATAAATAGGTATGAAGCTCACGTCCATTAATCATAAATGAGAGTCCTTAGGTATTTACTGAAAGAGTGCCAGTGTGTATATATTTTGACGTATTCAAATATTATAACCTCAAAATATAAACATAGTTTGTAAAGGTTTTACAAAGTACCGAAGATCTTGGTCCCAGGTTTTGAAAATAATACAGATAGCTTGCCTTTGGCAACCGCGGAGTTACCCTGACCAGGATTCTATCAATACTACATCACAGTCAAAAGTGGTATCCCACGTACAGCCTTTGTGAGGATAGTGTAAACCGCCCCCAAAATATGACTTGGCCCAACAAATGAGACTTCCCCCCTAAATTTTTCACAATATTTTAGTTATGTTAAAATCCAAAATTGTCATTAAAGCTGCATCTTCCCTTCTATCATGGATACCAAATGGACTCAATATACTAGTTTATTTTAATTACGTCTTTATTATTTATATTGATTTAGGCACCTTTTTATGATAAAAAATCAACTCAACACAAAGGCACGAACTTCATTATTTAGGTAAACTTATTATATTTCGGGGAATTTTTGTGTGGTAAATACTGATTTTAATCTAAAATCCTTACAAATTGCTTAATATTAACATGAATCCTTACATAAACGCCAAAACCTAAACAACACTTAAATATATAAGTGTGTGACGTGTACGTGACATGAAAGCTAAAAAGGGTTGACAGTTTACCTACTTTTATCGATGTAAGCATATTTTGATTACAATTATGACTTGTATGAATTGCTTTAACTAATTGAACTCAAATTGGTAACCATGATCATTAAGATAGTATCAAAAAGAGAGTATTATTATGTCTTAATGTAAAACCATCGACTATTGCTATTAACAGTTAAAACTAAAACTGAAATGTATAAGTATTTTGTGTGGAAGCTATGCATTAAAATAGCATTACACAATTATCCCGATAAGATGAAAAAAATCTATTTTAATCGATCACAGAAAGCCAGGAACGTCAGCACTAGTCAATAGCACTTAGATTTGCTATACTCTTAACACTACACGAGTTATGATTGTTATATTCCATTTTATTTGTCCTCTCTATGTTGTTATTTCAAACCTTATTAGGGGTTGTTTCAAATGGTGCTTAAAGAAAAATTTACTCAAGATGGAAACCTTAAATACATTTATGTCTTGCTAAAATATTACATCTTGGATCTATTTTAGATAAATGATTGAGCAAATATAAGAATTTACCAATTTGTCCATTACTTGGATTTAATAGTAAATAAATTGTGTATACCTATTAGTTTTGTTTTAATGTTGGATAGCTCCTACAAATCCATTTTCCATTGTAAGGAAATCACACTAGTTTAACATATGTATAAGGAAATTATAAACTGTTACTAAAGAATTGGTGTAAATACCTGCATTTATGCTAAATTGCAACCAATTTTGACTCACATAGGAGTCATCGTCGGGCCAGCACAGATGTCTTCTCGCTTCATTCGAAGGTAGTCAATTCTTAATAAATAAATACATAGAACACGCACACGTACACGAACATAAAACAAACATTTAAGTTTGAAAACGAATGAAGGTCTAGTTCTAGCTCATTGTAAGATGTAGACATAACTCCAGCCCGATCACGACGTGTACCGTGCCATTTCAGTATTACCCTTAGTTTTAACCCTAGATGTTCGTTTCTATGTTCATGTACGTGGTCAATCTATAATAAATAAATACATAGAACACGCAGTTCTATGTATTTATTTATTATGGATTGACGACCTTCGAACGAAGCGAGAAGAAATCTGTACTGTCCCGACGATGACTCCAATATAAGTCGAAACCGGTTGCAATTAAGCGACACGTTTGATCGTATAAATGCAGGTATTTGCACCAATTCTTTAGTGTTTAAATGCGATCAGGAGGCTAAAATTCAATATAATAAACTGTTACGAGAGTTACTGACTTTCAAAGTTCAGATTGTTTTTACCCAATTAAAAAATGTATATTGTAAAGAAGATGTAGGTAAATACAATTTAAACATATTCTACAGGTATTACAATAATCTTGTTATCTTCACCAAAGTAGTTGTGAAAATTTCCTCAAACGGTTCCATGAAAGGATAAGGATTTAGAGCTTTTAAGGACGTAGTGTTGAGTCTTCAAACAGCTTCAGCACGTTGCGTTCTATTTTTAAGGCTCTTTAAAGCATGGTCAAGTTGGACTTTAGGCTACTCTTTATATTAAACAAGCCATCAGGAAATCTATCTTAAAAATTCAAAGCACTCAAATGGATACATAAGAACAAATGTTGTTTTTTTTTTCGCGAATATGGTTTATAACTCCATAATATTGTAAACTCATTATGAAATAGAAACCCATAAAATGGTTTTGAACAGTCCATAATTCAGAAATCTTACACATTTGTATTTACAGGCAGAATAATATAGATGTGTTCTTTGGATTAAATGTGTTATTGAGATAAGTTAAAAAATCTATCTGAGTTATACATAGGTTTATGTGTTACACGATGTATTAACTTTTCTAATACAATTTACTTGATCATTTGCTGCAAATAGGGTATCGCAATACAGTTTATGGATCGAATATTTACTATAGGATCCCGAGTGGCTATTTTAATGAAACATGCAACTAATGGTCTGCCAATGATTAATACAAAAGGATTACGGTGAAATATAGCCTATGTTTACAGTTTATATCAAATATAATATTTGACAACAAATATAAATGTAGCGTAATCTGTACAATGACTTTTATTACAACTATCAATAAATTTCAGAACAATAACTAACATTTACATTAAGACGATTAACTTAAAACAAGGTATTATATTTTTTACCAGGAATAGTTTTACAGAAATACCATAACTGAAGTATATTTCTTTAGAAACGACATATTTGCAATTTACGGTAATTTTGCACATATCTTAGTTATTCTTGTGTTTTTATATCATAGCCATTTTTTTAACATAGTTCTAATGGTTTGATTGTTGCATATTTTATCAATCTAAAATCATCGTTGAATCATTTTATGACAAACTTAAGTGTTTCACTTTATATAAAACAAGAAAAAAGACTATAGGTTATACGTCCACTCTTGTTAAAAGGTAGCGAAGCTTTATAATTGTATGTGTTTCTTTTCTTTTTTTTAGCATATGATTTCTAAAATGTGAACCACTCCATTAATTGTAAAAGTTGCGTATACCATATGAATAAATCGGTTTAAATAAATTTTTTAAATAGACTTTTAGAATAAAATAGGCGAGTTTAAATAATTTGGCATAAGTATGAAACTTTAGTATCAATCCAATAAAACTTTTTGAAATGTGTCATAGATAGGCTTAATATTATATTGTAATCGACAAATGACACAATTACTTTTCATGAGTCATATTGCAATGACGTTTCTGGTCTTAGACCCTATTGAGTCTTGAAGTGTTATTTGTCCATCCCCCGTTATGTTTTAGCCATATTGCTGACTTATATTTGATAAGGGGTTTTGCCTTTTTTTCTATGCCTTTGGTATTTTACCAGAGAGGTCATGAGATAATAAATGTTAAGTAGATGTGCCGGGAATTGAACCCGTACCTCCCGCATCGAACTCCAAACCGCTAACCACTAGGCAGCAACACACGTATTAACTGAAAATTAACACCAATACAGGGGATAATATTTATACTCTTTTTATAACCTTTACGTCAAAGCTCATACCTCTATGGCAGGTAGTTGACATTGCATAGTTCATTATTTTCCAATACTTTGGTATAAACATAACAGTTTTGTTCACTATTGTTACTAATATAAATGTTCATCAGTTATCTTTTAAGCACAGTTTAAATTTATATTGTAAAACATAACTGCTAGGGATTTGTCACCTTTATGTTGTTAATCAATAAATCACATTTAATTTAATTTATTTTGATTTATATCAAAATGTTTCTTAGAATTGATTAACTGCTTAGGTTTTGTTTCTCTCTATTGATTACACGTTTCTATATGTATTGATCCATTTATCTATTGATCTTTACGCTGTCATACATTTTCGCCCTTCAACGCACTAAACATATTTAACCTGTCATTAATTAAGAACGCCGATTTTCTATGTTTTTAAGGTTCGTAATGAAGGTAATGGAGAAATCAATTATATTTCTTGTACATTAGTAAGTAGGAAAAATATCTTTTTTGGAGAGTATAGTGTTTGTGTATAGTATAGTTTTATAGAAGACTATTTCACTAGGAGTTTTAACATCTGTGTAATTATGCATAATTTCTTTGTATATTTAATATCTAGTAATGTTTTTTTTATATGATTTTTATAATTTATTCAAAGTGAGTATTTGATGAAATTACAATGTTGTTGACTTGTTGAAAAACTACGTTTGTACATAATACAAGCGCTCTTGGCTAGATAATCAAGCGTATTTAAGTTAACTTTGTTCTCAATAATTTATAATCTCAATTCTAAACTTTTACATGTAAAGCATTCTAAAGCTAGGACTCAGTAATTACAATATAAGTTTATCATTTTTGTAAATTGATTATATGCATGTTTAGATGTTACCTAAAATAATTATCCAAGTGGCCAGCAAATGTCACAAGACACAAACGCCACCCCGCACACTAGCAGCGCTTCACAGACTGACGGTAACGGTTACTCCCTGGATGAGTTCGCTTAACCTCGGAAATTGTCGAGTGCTCTCGTCTGTAATCGACTATCTCCGGAAGTGTTCGGGTCTAGGTAATGCCGCACATTGCCGTTAACGGCTCTTTGGGGACCGGGCGTCATGAAGGATTATGTGCATAATTAGACTTAACACCTGCACCATTCACTTTTGTTCACTAAAATATCCAGCAGAGGTATTCCGTCCGAATACTTAATTGCCTTATTTGCAAAAACAACGCATATTTTATTTCTTTCTTGTTTTCGAGGATTAACGTTTTACCAGGTGTTAGACATCTGAATAAACCATGAGCTTATGTAAACAAGAATGTTTGGTAGAACTGAATCTCCATTTTGGAGGTCATATTTCAAAACTTTGTCAAATATCAAACCCCCTCGCTTTACCTGTTTTTAAATACTACTCTAGTTCAAATTAATTTTGACAACTATACATATTTGTTCAAGTTTTATATACATTTAACGACACTATGATAAACTTAACACTTATTTACTTTACATACTGCTGGCTTACTAGGTTTCTTCATTAGGTTTTCATGAAATATTTAAACAATTAAAATGAACATACAGTTAAATAAATTGAAAAAAAAAATAACTACGCGCTCTATAACAGCTAAGCGATTTCTTTTTGATTTAAAAGACAATCGTTGATTCAAAATAATGTACCAAGTTCAAAAAATCAAACAAGCAATGAATAAAATTTAACCCCACAACAACCAGCTGAAGTTTGTAGTTCAGACTCACTTTCGATAGAGACTGAACTATTGTTTTTAAAGACTTTTCTACACCAATCTAGAAATCCAGATTTGAACACAGGTGTACAGCACGCTTGATCCCATGCTACTGCCTTGCACACGGCACAACACGGATACAGTATTGTTCCTATCCTTAGTCAGTGAGAGATGGCGCTTGTCTATTCCAGTAAAATATTGAATACTGTTATGACAAATTGGAATGTTCTTGGTTAGCATTGATCAGATTTCGTAAAAAGATTTTCCAGGCTGCAACGTACTAAGGTTAATCTTCATGCTGATGCTCAACAAAGGTGCTCGATTGTTGGTGTTCCCGTTCGTCTTCCATGTACAGTACTTATTTTTACGCCACGCTATATGCTTCAAAACTATCATAACTCGATGACCATGGCTATCCGCGTCGGCAAACAAAATGTGATTACACCGAAGTAGCCTGAAACAACCTCTAAACTGAAAAAAAGACTCCGAATATTTTATGAGTAGGCATAAGTGTTGTAGGTAGGGAACCTATATCAAATTTGCCCTATGGATTTATAAATTGAGATAGTTTAAATATCGATGGCTTACTCATAGCAGACGTGATGAAGGCGATACAATGACTGTACAGTCACTTAGTATTGATAATCGATCCTTAGTAGAAACACACATCTATTCCTTATTTTACCTCACACCTACATCAGTGACGCGCTAACTACATGGTACTAAATATATGGTGTGATCTTCAGTGAAAGGTTATTTGACGAAGATACAGTGCGAATACTTCGCACGGGTTGGGTAGTATAGTTAAAATACGTCTTCCAACAATATTTTATGTATTCTCACTTACTCTGTAAACCTTACAAGATGATAAATATAAATTAAACACGTTACAAAGGATATCAATTTAGACCAGTCACAACGGACATAATCGTAACTACGGAGAAGTGAAAGACATACTAAAAACGTATTTTAGTATTCTTTAAATAATAATTATTCAAACTAATCCACCCGTCAACTTGCGTTTCATTAGTTAAAATAACATCACACTAAAAGTACAATTAACTCGCTTCCGTGTTTAATGTCTTACTTAATCCACTTTACCGTTATAAATCACTCTCTCTTTCAATAAAAGACGAAATCACTTTGCGAACAAAGAATTAATCCTGGAACAGTTAAGTCTAGCTTTAAGATTAATCATACCAAATGATCAGTATTTACTCCTTTTTCACACAATTTAATGTATTAAACAAGAACTGAAGTGTTGTAAAATATTTAATATGTATGACGTATAAGACACTAATGTAGGTAGAGATATATATCACTACAATCTAACAATATACTATGTATGTCGTTCTTTGATAGTACGTTGTTTAATGCACTTTAGTATGTTAATATGCTATGAGAATTCGTAATGATTCATTTCTTTATAAAAGCTTTTTTTATTTTAGATTCGTTATAATTCCTTCATAGAGCAAATATAATGTGAGAAATTAAATGCAAAATATGATTTTAAGTATTAAAAACTAACTCTAACAGTACTCTTTGTTTGAAATTCATTGTTGAGGATGTTAGTTGAGGTAAGTTAATGGTGTTCAAAGGTTTATTGCAAAACATTTCCATCACAATGGAAAAAAAATAATAATACACAACGTTTCGGGATCTGGAATCTGATCCCATCCTCAGGTGAAAAAACTTAACCAACACAGTTTTTTCATCCGATGACGGGATCAGATTCAAGATCCCGAAACGTTGTATATTGTTTTCCACCAGTATTTCTTTGTTATTATACGTTTATTATGTTAGAGGAATCCACATTTTGAAACAATAAATTGAAATTAATTGATCCAATGTGATATCTATGACACAAAATGTTTAAAAACTTTTATACTTAAACCCTGATATCAGCCTCCTAATCACTTTTCGATGTTGGTAAGTTGCGGCCCAAACCTCATTTTGCGCAATTTTTGTCAATTTTGTCATCCAAAGGCACTGGACGTGAAAACAAATAAACATCAAAATTGATGAGTCCGTCCACAATAATTTAAGAACAATGAGTAAATACTCAGGTGTGCCTGGTCAACTCTAAGTTGACAATTTCATCTTTTCAAAATTTAGAAACATCAAAATTCAAAATTTCAGTTGGACGATGAAAAATTTAATCCGTCCTCAACACATTATAATTCAATCTGTCGTGCACTAAAGTGTGCACCTGATGAGGTATGGGCTATCTAGCCCTGAGACCGAAACAGATGATATCGTTATGCGTATAATCGCACCTTTTACGTTGCAAGAGTGATTCCGCCACTAGGGCGTCTTTTCGCACGTATAACCCCAAGAACGAGTTTCGTGACCAATACATCTAACCTGCAAAATTAATTTAGAATTTTAGAAGGTTGCGAAGCCAAACACTTGCACCTAATGTTACAAGTCACTCAAAATTATTAATTGGTTAAAGTGATTGTGACAGGTGATGTAGTTGCAAATCCAGCGGAGCTGGTCAGTCTTCTCAATCAGACTGCAATTTTAGAATCACTGATATCATCAAACAGTAGCACGTTTAGGCTCTTCTACACAATTCGTGTGGGCGACATCCGTCTGTCCGGCGATCGTGAGGGTTCCCACAGCATATAGCTTTTGTGGTTGATAGCTGCAATTAAGATCAGCATCTGCCCTACGTCTAAAACCCGGTTACGCGTTATTGTGAGGGGATATGACTAGCGCTTCATTACAGGTTAATCTTTTTGAAGGTAAATGGGACGAATCCCTTGCCAATTTTCAATTACATTCGTTTGAATGTTCTATCAAATTACAAAACCAAAATCTCAACCTCTCCGAGCATTGGGATTATCACACGTACCGTCTCGGGTGTGTACGATCCATGTTCGTGTGTGGTTTGTAGATTCGAAATTTGATTGAGCCTGCGCTATGTCAAATACGACTAATCCATCTTTCAGGATTAGAAGTGTGCTCTGTTGTTTCGACTTTATTTTAGTCTCTTCAGTCATGGATAGGTCCGAAGACCACCATGAGACAACAGTAAATGTGATTTGCGTGGAACGTGTTCATTACGAGATTCCAGCATTCACTGGGCAGTACGAGCGTTCGACTCGCTTTTACAAACTCTGTGTGACAGTGGAAGAATTTAGCAATCCACAATGTCAAGAGTGCCCTACTTTTCAAGATTTCACAGAGACTATGTATATTATTAATTATACCTCAATTAAGTTTAAAATGACTTTGATTAGTCATATCGAAATTCAGAAATGTCTACTAGAGACAGCTGAAATTGGGTTCCAGATTCCAGGAACCAATCAGCATGCGATGACAGATTTCAGTCATCCAAAGGCACTGGACGTGAAAACAAATAAACATCAAAATTGATGAGTCCGTCCACAATAATTTAAGAACAATGAGTAAATACTCAGGTGTGCCTGGTCAACTCTAAGTTGACAATTTCATCTTTTCAAAATTTAGAAACATCAAAATTCAAAATTTCAGTTGGACGATGAAAAATTTAATCCGTCCTCAACACATTATAATTCAATCTGTCGTGCACTAAAGTGTGCACCTGATGAGGTATGGGCTATCTAGCCCTGAGACCGAAACAGATGATATCGTTATGCGTATAATCGCACCTTTTACGTTGCAAGAGTGATTCCGCCACTAGGGCGTCTTTTCGCACGTATAACCCCAAGAACGAGTTTCGTGACCAATACATCTAACCTGCAAAATTAATTTAGAATTTTAGAAGGTTGCGAAGCCAAACACTTGCACCTAATGTTACAAGTCACTCAAAATTATTAATTGGTTAAAGTGATTGTGACAGGTGATGTAGTTGCAAATCCAGCGGAGCTGGTCAGTCTTCTCAATCAGACTGCAATTTTAGAATCACTGATATCATCAAACAGTAGCACGTTTAGGCTCTTCTACACAATTCGTGTGGGCGACATCCGTCTGTCCGGCGATCGTGAGGGTTCCCACAGCATATAGCTTTTGTGGTTGATAGCTGCAATTAAGATCAGCATCTGCCCTACGTCTAAAACCCGGTTACGCGTTATTGTGAGGGGATATGACTAGCGCTTCATTACAGGTTAATCTTTTTGAAGGTAAATGGGACGAATCCCTTGCCAATTTTCAATTACATTCGTTTGAATGTTCTATCAAATTACAAAACCAAAATCTCAACCTCTCCGAGCATTGGGATTATCACACGTACCGTCTC